CCTGAGGTCCTGTCCTGTCACTGTTGGTTAAGAAGCTCTAGTGGCTCCTGCCAACCCTATCAAGTTCAGACCTCATTCAAACTCAAGTAGTGAAACAGGAACACACGGAAGCAGTTTTGTTTCTCTGATCAATTACTTTAGGAAACACGGGACCTGCCATTATCTAGCATAATTTTTTTAAAGTAAAAACTCTATGATCCTGGAAAGAGTTTAGAATATAGTGTGATGTCAGTAAAGACTACAAGCCATTTATAGTCTCTGTTCCTATCTTTCTTTTTTTTTCTGGCTTACAAGTGCAAATATATGTGTATTTAGTCATTTAAAAATGTTTGGAGCCCTGACTGGTTTGGCTCAGTGGATAGAGCGTCAGGCTTGATCCCCAGTGTGGGGCGTGCAGGAGGCAACTGATCAATGAATCTCTCTCATCATTGATGTTTCTATCTCTCTCTCCCTTTCCCTTCCTCTCTGACATCAATAAAAATATATTTTAAAAAATAAATAAAAATAAAAATGTTTGGAAAGATAGAGAAAATGTTAACAGTCATTGTCTATGAGTGGTGGAATTTTCTTTTGACTTATCAGTATTTTCTAGTTTTTTTCTTAAATTAGCATATATATATCTCCCTAACCAGTTTGGCTCAGTGGATAGAGCATTGGCCTGTGGACCAAATGGTCCCAGGTTCGATTCTGGTCAAGGACATGTACCTTGGTTGCAGGCACATCCCCAGTAGGGGGTTTGCAGAAGGCAGCTGATCGATGCTTTTCTCATTGATGTTTCTAACTCTCTATTCCTCTCCCTTTCTCTCTGTAAAAAATCAATAAAATAATTAGCATATATTACTTCATACTAAACAAAAGTCATTAATGAAAAATGGATTTAGCTCATCTCCCTGTAAAATGGAGATTAAGACAGAGTGTAGAAGCCAGGTGAGTCATCAGTAAGTATAGAAGCTGACTGAGTACAGCCAGTTGACGTTTGCAAGTTCTTTAAAATTAGCAAGGTCATGGGAAATAATCATAACCTTCTTGTTTTAAAAAAATATATTTTTATTGATTTCAGAGAGGAAGGGAAGGGGGAGAGAGATATAGAAACACCAATGATGAGAAAGAATCATCGATCAGCTGCCTCCTGCACGCCCCACACTGAGGACCAAGCCCGCAACCTGGGCATGTGCTCTTGACTGCAATCAAACCCGGGACTCCTCAGTCCACAGGCTGACACTCTATCCACTGAGCCAAATCGGCTAGGGCAATCATAACCTTCTTTAACAAAATTCAGTCTTCCAACTGGCCTGAATCTGGGCCAGGGAAGAGAGCATAACAATGATAAAAAAGTTTTCTCCTTCTACCTTCTGGATTCAAGTCAAACAGAAGGAGTTACAACCTGTAGTAGGAATTCTTAATCTTGGGATTTTGATAAACCCCTAAAGTTGTATGCTAATCTGTGCACATTTGTCAGGAGAGAGTCCTTGCTTTTATAAACAAGTTAACTAAGACTATGGGCTGGAGAGTCTTTCCACTTTTAGAGGATTGTGGGACAAGGCACTTATTTTTATTGCTAAGACTACTTAAGTCAGACAGCTTTTCAACCGAACAGGTTAAAAATGACAGTGAAGAACCTATGGTGAAGATACTACTTACACTTAGAAGTAGAAATGTGTGACTGATGGAAAAATTACCAGAAATAATACATCCAACTGGATCACATCTTCTTATACTAACTTTCCTCAGTGATGTTGCTCAACATATTGTGGGAATTTTCTTCAGAGCTCATGACATATTCTTTTAAATCGCCTCAATGATGGGCAAATCATGTCTATTGGGACTGAATTTGGGTTTTATCAATTGTCAAATGTTGCCTAAAATGAATAAAGAGGTAAATACCCACTTTTGGCTAAAAATGAAAAGGTAAATCACAAGATATTTTCATAGTTGACTTATTTGACTAAACACTTCTAAAAACGTTTTAAACAATAATGGCTCTGGACTTTTAATGCCTGTTTGCTTTTGTTCTTTCTACTCAGGGTTAATTTTTGTTTGTTTGTTTTTTTCTTCTGTGCAATGGCCAGATATATTGATACAGCTAATGCTTTGGAGCAAGAAACTCAACTGGGGTTACGACGCTTTGAAGTTTGTGACAACGTTGACCTTGAAACTATTTTGATGGACTATGAGAGCTATTATTTTATAAAATTTCAGAAATACCCCAAAATTATCAAAAAGGCACCAGACACAGGTATATGGCTATTTTCTAGAAATAAAACTTTATATCATCTTTAAGATTAGCATTTCCTCCTCCTTTTATTCCCAGATAGATGGTGCCCCTCATGCTGTACTGAAGGACTAGACCAGACAGTTCCTGTAGCTTCCCTTAAATTCAGTGCAATTTAAATATGATCTGTGGACATGGAAATTCCTTCAGTTATGTTGGCATTTGTTTGAGGAACATGTTTGAGGACAATGAAGGCAAAACCTCAGAGTTTCACAGGTCCTTTTTTTTTTTTCCAATTCTAGTTTACATTCAATAATATTTGTATTGGTTTCAGGTGTACAGCACAGTGGTTAGACAATCATATACTTTACAGGTTCTTTTTAGAAGCCCAACATTACTTTCATTTCTGTAGAGATGGAAAGAGCTGTTAGAAGAGGATAAATGACAGAAGATTCTTTTCTTGCTAGGAAGACCTATTATCTATCTTGAAAATAACATGAAAATGAGTATTGGTGAAGCTAATAGCTCATGTATAGATAATGAAATGCTTTAGAAAGCCATCAATCCAGATAATGATCAATATTTTGCAAAGACCCAGTATAGGTTAACAGTCAAGGAGGCTGGCTGGAGGAAAGATCTAAAGTGAGGGCCCTATGTTTTGTAGTAACATTGACTTAGAAGTCTGTAAGTGGGGGAAGTAATTATAAACCAAGGGAGATCATTGTCCTGTTTACAAGGCACTCGTTAAGCCACAGACTTTAACATTTCATGTGGGGACCAGGAAATCAAGAGGAATGTCAATTAAAAATAGCTAGGGCCGAATCTCAGAGCTGGAAGGGGTCTGAGAGAGAGGTGTTTTATCTAAACTCCCTTCCAGTGCAGGGCTCAGAGCCCTTGGCTGCTGGATCTGAGTCATGGCAGAGAAAGCAAGGACTCTTAACCACTGGGACACTAGACCTATTATTGACATGATCTGATTTCTAAATTGCCAGCTCTGATCTAGCTTGGAAATGACTTTTCCTGGGATATGAACACTAACTCTTTATGTTCAGGTAAACTGGCAGAGTATGACTGATAAACAGTACCTGCCAGACTCATGGAATTGTATTGGTGTCCCACAGACCAAGTCAAAATATTTTTAAGTTCACGAAAACCTAATGAAATGGTAACTAAGCCCATACTGGAGTTGTCACTAGGTCCATGGTCTCCAACAGGTTTAATATCCAAGGCCTTTGGGGTCTTTCTCTACCTGGAAACATTTGGGAAGCCTGAGCTTCTTTCTCTTCACTGGTAGTTTCACTTCTCTCTAGATAAGAGTAGCTTAGAGTCTTTAAATGCCAAAAGGCTGTTGCACAAATTTAAAAGCAATGTAAAAGGACAAACATACTTGAAAAATCACTTTCTCGTAAAAATGAAATTCTTTCCTTTTCCTCCCAATATCTGTTTTGCTACAGCAGAAAGTAACTTACCACCAAGAAGTGGAGGGAAGGCCAGAAGGTAAAGTAAATGGTAATTCATCTTGATCAACTCAACTCTAGGAGTTTGGGGGACCCTTTCAGAAGATGCTCCAGTGTGGCTCCATGACTGCCTACCAGCAGCGCCAGGCTGTGGTCATGTGATTTAAGTGGCCCCAGCCATGTGTTCATTCATGTTACAAATGTCCAGGACATGGGCCAATGTCTGTCAGTTCTCCTGGTTTTACTGCGAATACTTGCACCCACTTATGCTCTGTCTTTCTCGGCTCAGTGGTTTGAAAAGGATGGACCTCAGAGATGAAAAGACCTGGGTTCAATCTGGGCTCTGCTTCTGACAAGCTAGGAGCATGTTTCTGACACATAGGGAGTTCCCTGCACATACTGAGCACCCAAGAAATATTATTTTCCCTTTTAAAATCATATCTGAGTTTCTTTGTGCACGCCCATGTCCTGACCTGTCTGAAGATAATCAGGCCTTTCTTTTCTCCTCCTTTTCTGGCACTCATCTTATATTCCTTTCTCTAGCTTCTCAAATCCAAATCTCATTTAGGACTTGCAGCATATGATGGAATTTCTCTGTCTCTTGACCATTCTGGGGAGACACAAGGTCCTACCACCCTTGCCTCAGTGTCCTCCGCATTCCCTTCTTTCCACTCCCAACTCACACCCACTGTCAGAGCCTATTCAGAAATGGCCAGGAGTGCAAGGGCATGGGTGCCAAGGACGGCATAGCTTTGGGGCATGAAGGCTTGTAGATTTTTCTGTTATAATAAGGCCCAAACCTTAGGGGAAGGTTGAAATGGGGTCTTAGTAGGGGCCCCACAACCATTTAGTCAGTGAACAAAACTTCTTTAAATCTTAGAATGCAATTGAAGAAAACTTAGATTGTAATCACAAGCAACCCATTAGGCCTTTAGGAGGTATGAGTTCCATGTGCCCCACTAAGTTCCTTGCCTTTGTGACTCCAGTCCCTGGTGTGCAGCCTAAGAAGGAAGGGTCAGACACCTCACAGGACTGTTTGGCATCATTTATAAAATGGCTGTGGAGCCCTGAATGCTTTGTGATAATATGCTGCCTGAGGCTACCTTTGCTTTGCACTATTCTTTAGGAATGTTTTATTGTTTTGACCGAATGTTATTCTTTTATTTATAGTTGCCATAAAGCTAGTCAGAATTTGGTAATAAATAAGTACTTCTGAATAGACCCAGTGAGGAACATTTTAAGAGGCCGGCTTTGGGGAACACATTTAGATTCTGATTATTTTTCAGCCATACGTTCATGCTTGACATTAGCTCAGCATTCCTTACCTGGCAGAACATTCTGTGAGTGAATGTCATTGGAGAGCTTTGCTTCCCTTTTGGGATAGAGGTTGATGGCTTGGGGTTCCTTCAGCTCTCCTCTGAGTAGATGTTTGCACCCGTAAGCATGAAGGTTGGATAGCAAATTGCTGGGATCAGGATGGATAACTAGGAAAATAATGAATGGTGTTTGTTTACAGTTTTATATTCAAAGATAGTTGTTGAAATGAGAGGTTGTATCATGAGACTGGCTACTAACAGATGAAAGTGCCTTTTCCTAATTCTTGCATCTCACACCAAAGAGCAAGCTCCCAGCTTAGAAATTTGCAGCTGACCCCAAGAAGGAAAACTTCTTTAATGTGATGGATGACAGAATTAGGATGCCATAAAGTCTTGACAATTTAGGAGATGGGCCCAAAATAACAAGATGAAATTTAATGAAATATGATTTAAACTCTATCCAAAGATTCACAACAAATACCTCCCCTATTACAAAACCAGGGACCTAGGAGTCGGAGTGAACTGCAGATGCAGTGTGAATCAACAATGTAGTGTGACTGCTAATGTGGTTTTAGGTTTCATCAATAGAAACAGTCTGGAAAGTAGGAGGTGGCTCTATTCTGGTCAGAAGACTGGATTAAAGGTGCCCAGGATGAGTAAGAATCTAGGAGCCAGATGACCTTAGGAATGACTGAAGAAACTGGAGATGTTTAGTTTGAAGAACAGAAGACTTGGGGTGAGGGTGGTCCCTACAATAATGCAGTAGCTGTTTTCACTCTCTAAAGAGAGATTGGATCTTCTCTGCAAATTCCACAGGACACACCTAGAACTAGTGACTGAAGTTAATTAACAGGGTGAATTTGGTTCCATATTAGAAAGAATTTTACAATCCTTAGAGCTGATTGGAAAAGAATTGTGTTGCTTTGCACATTAATGCACTTGGTTTTGGTCACATTAAAGCAAATCTGTGAATCATTTGCCTCCAGTGGGAAAATAGGCTTCCTGTTTCCTTACAGCTCTACAGGGTGTTGAGGCAAATTTAACTCTCTATATAGGTCTATATCTGTCTATCATCTATCTATCTATCTATCTATCTATCTATCTATCTTCATCATCATCATCCAACTATCTTCATCATCATCTATCTATTCTTCATTTAAATCAATGCTATTCACAAGGGTTTGCACTTATGAAATGTCTGGTATTCATTTCATAGATTTTCATTGCTGTGCCAGCAAAAGACCTGAGGGGCAGACATTCTTGTTCCTAATCTACAGATGAAAAACAGATGCCCTGATAAACTGGCAGTTGTTCCTCTCATGACATTTACCCCATTGGGCCCAATACTGTAGTTGCCACGTGTGGACATTGGTGGTATTGTTGGCATAGCCATAGATGGTCTCGCTGGCCAAATAGCTAGCTATATGGTTATAGTAGACATGACCAACTTTTTCTTTCTCACAAAGAAATGGAGTTGAAATGGCAGCTCTCTGAGACCACTTAGCACAGGGGGAGAAAAATTTTAGAAATGCATCTCACGTGAGAGGGCAAGAGAATGAGAGAACCAAACACCTGATGATGTGGGTATCTGTAATGTAGGGAACAAGTATATTTTACCTCTGTACTGATGTATAACATAGATACAGTCAAGGCATATATACTCATTACTACCACTGCTGGCAGCCCACCAGCAGGCTCCCTCCCCAGTCAATACCCCCATCGCCACCTCCGTTAGCCACTAATTCTGACTTCCAGCCCCATCAATTCGTTTTGCCTGAAGTATACAATTCTGGTGAAAATTTGTTTTATAAACATGAATGACCTGTGACAACAGATGAGGTAAGGTTGCTTTCCTTCCATTAGCCCCTTTTGGCATCTATTGTGCACAGTATGATGGGAGTATTTTAAGTAGACAAAGTCCACCCAGCACACTGGGTTGAAACCATGGACAGATCCCTAGGCTTTCCAATGCTCATTCATCTGGGTGGAGGATCCTTCCTCCTGTGCCTTTCCCCTGCTCTTCCAGAGGGAAGTGGGGGTGGGAGTTGGGTGGAGGTGGAAAGAAACAAGGAAAGGCTGTTTGTAAAGCATTTTAGGAAAAGAAAGCTATTTACAGAAGGGCTGAAGCCATGGGTCATGAAAGGGAAATGCAGAGTGAGTCAGGGGCCTCTAGGAGGAGGTGGCCCTCTAGCTCCGTCTTGTAAGAATCTAATGGGTAGATTGAGTGAGTCAGACTTGGATGGACAGGATAGGGGATGCAGATGTTAGGGCCCTATTGTGGTACACCTGTCTATCTTTCAAGAACTCTATGTGCTCCACATGTTGTTTAGTTACCTTAGACTAAGTGGTTAGAATAATTTCCTTCAAGTTCTTTGTTTCCTCCCCTAGGGTGATGAATGACAGTTGTCAAAATCTTCCCATGATCAGTCAGCTGAGGCCACGGTCCAAAACCATGGTGGGGAAGCCAGGGGAAGCCAAACCCCTCTATAAGGAACATCCTAAACAGGTCAGGACAGCTTTGCTTGGTGTGGTAAAAAAGCAGGTGACTGAGAAATAGCCCCAAGAAAACAGTCACTTTTTTCTTTTGAGGACCTATGTTTTTTTTAAATTGCTGTATGATTTCACTAAATTGTAGATTTTCTTCCGAGTCACTGGATTAAAACTACAAGCAAATTCCTAGTCTTCCTAATGTTTCTGACTTTGAGTGGGAGGGCTCCTCCCTCCCCAGCCTTTCCCCTGGTCTGAGTGCTGGGTGACAGCCTTCGAGGGGTGAGTCCTGGGCATGGCAGGAGGGCTTATTTGCTGCAGAGTCCCATCCTCCCATTTGAGGTAACTGTAGTCAGCAGGCCTTCCTGTCCTGAAGCACCTTCCTGGGTTCCTAGATATGGGCCAGAGGTTGTCTTGGGTGTGCCTGGGCCTCAGAGTCTCCTGTTGGATTTTTCTGAAGTGACACGGTTGGTCCTTACCCCAGACCTCCGCACTGGACTTTCTGGGGGAGATGGGGCACAAGAGGAGAGAGTCCAGCAGGCGGGTGAGACCAGCAGCTCCTGATTTGGGAGATCCAGGCCTAGAGATTCCTGGTTTAGGACAAAACATACCAGATTTCTAAGGGAACAGAACCAATAGAGACTGTGAAACATAATTAATGCCAAAGATATCTCGGGGGGTAGAAAGAAATAATCACAAACATCAGTTGGTCAAAAGGAATCTCTCACCCTCAAAGAGGTTGGGTGGTCTGGTCATTGTAGTCTGACTCAGGCAGAAGGGAAGTGGAAGGGCAGCAGATAAATCCCACAGGAGCTGGCTGGCTGCTGCCCTTCAAACTCAGCACTCCTGGCCACAAACACCTTTGGTCCCAGGAGAAAAGACAAGCCAGCAAGTGGGAATGGGTTGAGACATTGGAAAAGCTGCTTGCTTCCAAGGCCAGCTTCTTCCATGTGGCACAGGTAGATTGTTAGTTCATCTTGGGGCGGCACAGAAGTGGACAAATTACACATGGGGTTCCCCATTTACAGAACTGACCTCCAGCATTTGCCATTTGATTTGGGGTAATGGAATAGGCAGTTATAACCAGCATCTCTATGTCCATTTTGACTTCTACCTGTCTTCCTCTTTCTTCAGGAGGTTGTCAATAACCCTGGCATGGAGAGAGCCGACTTTGGCTTAACTATATCAGGAATCAACAGAGGCCGTGGAAGAGAAAATGTCCGTCCACAAAGAGTAAGTGGAACTCATGAACCTGACACTGAAAGGGAAAATCCCCTTTTCTTTTAAAAAAAATGATAATAAAAATGTTATTTCTGTCAAACAGAAAAGTTACTATGTAATGATCAAAGGTTGACTGTGAGGTGAACTGGGAAGAGCACTAGGTAAGGATTAGAACCCTGGGGTTCTGGTCTGACTCTTCCTTCTAGATGAATGGACTTGAATGAACTGCCTCATCTCTAAGGAGCTCAGTTTCCTCACTTGCAAGTTGAGCTATTTGGAATAGATGGTTTCTAATGTTCCTTTCAGCTTAAAATTCTGTGATTAAAATAATAAACATTGGCATGACTGTTCTGCATTATTTAAGAAGTGACCTCACTGTAGCTGGTTTGGTTCAGTGGATAGCGCATTGGCCTGTGGAATGAAGGGTCCCAGGTTCGATTCTGGTCAAAGGCACATACCACCAATGCAGGCTGGATCCCTGGTCCTGGTTGGGACTCGTGTGAGTGTCAACCAATCAATGTGTCTCTCTGATATCCATGTTTCTTTCTCTCTGTCTCTCCCCCTCCCTTCCATTCTCTCTAAAAATCAATGGAAAAAAATCCTCGGATGAGGATTAACAACCACAAAAAAGGACCTCACATTCATTCTTTTCTGCCTGTCAGTAGTTGTTGATTAGTGGTGTCACCTTTCTCCTTGGAGGTATGGCTTCACCTGGAATGTAATTTCCTGTGAACCATGGAACCTATGTTGACAGAGAGTTGATCTTGTCCTTGATAGGTATTTTACCTCTTTCACGATGAACCTCATGTCCTGATTTGTAAATAATAGTTTCTCAAAAGAAAAGACCCAAATTGGGTGAATGTAGGCAAAAGGCAGGTAAAACATGTCACTTGGAAATGAAAAGTAGCATCAACACCAACATATCTCTTGATTGTAACTTCTAGAGTTGTACTTCTTTAAGAGTCATCTTTCTTTTCTTTCTTTGATCAAGTTCTTACTTCTAGTCAACTCTTCTCAGCCATACTCAACTCTAGGTTGTGCATATTTAGAGAGGAAGCTGAGGGCATCTCCTTGGAAATCAAGGGAGCTGTCTCATTGGCCTGAACTGACTCTTGTCAGGGCCTCAAATGTATGAGTGATTGCTGGAGAAACCATTTGAATCTGTGTCCCCCATGGAGAAACATGTCCCCGGTTACCTTCACTACTTTCATTGTATTTTTAGCCACTTTTGTGCCTCGCAGTTTTGTGGCATTAGTTTCTCTCCTGAATGCCTCAAGTTCACATGGATGGATGTTTCTGATCTGGTCATAAGGAAGGGACTATTTAACCCAGCACTTAACCTTTGGAAGAGTCTGGCTGTAAATTCTCTCACAGCAGAAAAGTCTTCAGGGTAAAATGTACATGTTTTTCTCCCTAGCATTTCAGATGTTTATAAGCTGAATGAGGGTGTATGGCCAGGA